GAGGGGGGAGAGGAAGAAGAGAAGAAGGAGAATGAGGAAGAGGAGGAGAAGAGGGAGAGGAAGGAGAAGAGGAAGAGAAAGGAGGAGGAGGGTGGAGGAAGAGGAGGAGAGAAGGAGGAAGAGGAGGAGAGAAGGAGGGGGAAGAGGAAGAAGAGAAGGAGGAAAAAGAGGCTGAGGAAGAGGGAGGAGGAGAAGAGAAGGAGAAAGAGGAGAGAAGGAGGGGGAAGAGGAAGAAGAGAAGAAGGAGGAGGAGGAAGAGGGAGGAAAAGGAGGGAAAAGAAGAGAAGGAGGAAGAGGATGAGAGAGGAGGAAGAGGGAGGAGGAGGAGAAAAGAGAGAAGGAGGGGGAAGAGGAAGTAGAGAAGGAGGAGGAGGAAAAGGAGGGAGGAAGAGGAGGAGAGAAGGAGGGCAAAGAGGAAGGAGGAGGAGGAGGAGGAAGAAGAGCCCGAGAGAGGAGGGAGGAGGAGGAAAAGGAGAAGAGAAGGAGAAGAGGATGAGAGGAGGACGAGGGAGGACGAGGAGAAAGGGGAGGAGAGAAGAGAAGGAGGAGGAGGAGGGAGGAGGAGGAGGAGGAGGAGGAAGAGAAGAAAGGCCAAACAGCACCAGCCCACAAGCAAAGTCGGCTTCCAATGGGGGAGGTGGACAGGCACCTGCAGGCCAAACTGACTTACAAGGTCTGTGGCCTTCCACCATTTCTACGGGACCATAGAACATCTGAGTCTTCGATGGAGCTGAAAACAGGGTTGGGGGGGGAGGGGCAGAGGGGGCCGCGTGTGAAAAGGGGGCCGCGTGTTGAGCTGCCTCAAGCAGGAACCTTGCGAGTCCAGGCGCCGCCGTCTTCAGAGACGGGCCTCCCGTCCCCAAAAGCTTCTCCCCCCCCCCCCCCCCCCCCCCCGACATTTCCCCTCCTGCCCTCCGCTCGATGGATGAGAGCAGAAGCGTGTCTTTGCGTGAGCCTGCGAGGAAGCGGCTGGTCCCGGGGTTGGCGGCCCGGATCAGCGTAGCGCTCGGGAGATGTGGGCTGGCGGGCCAAGCCGGAGAGGAGGACTCCCCCGCTTCCTGGCAGCCGGCAGGCGCGTGAGAGCTGCAGTCCTACCTTGCACGTAGAGGGTGGCCATCCCCTCGTCCATGTCAAACATGTTGGAGCCTGTACAGATGTAGATGCCGGCGTCCTCCGGCTGCACGTTCCGGAGGGTCAGGATGCCGTTGAAGTCCATGGCGCGGCTGGGCAGCTTCCCGTTGTTCTGCCGTGTCCACACCAGCGTGTAAGCGGGGGACTGCAGGAGAAGGCAGGAGGCGGGCGGGGGAGAGAAACAAGGGTGGGTGGGTGGGGAGAAGAGGCAGGAAAGAGCCCAAATGCACCCACCCTGCCTGGTTTGGGAAGAGGAGGCAGCGTCCGTGGCTGGACGTCCAGGGGGAGTCTCGGCATGCAACCGCGGTGGTACTTGCGCTTCCCCTGGGCACCGTTGTGCCACTGCAGGTCTCGCCAGGCCCTCTCGGATCTGGCCTGCTAGACTTCCGCCTTCCCTCGGCAAGGATTCCCCTCCCCACACCTCTCTCTCTCTCTCTCTCTCCCACCTCCAAAGAGTCACCTTGCTCCTGGCCGTGCAGAGGAAGGTGACGTCGCTGCCGGCTTTCACGTTCTGCACCCTCTGCTCTTCCACCGTCACGGAGATGGCCTTGCTGGGGCCTTCTGCGCTGGCCGAGAGAAGCCGGTCAGCATTGCCCAGCCGGTCCCGACCCAGCTCTCTCTCTCTCTCTTTATCTCTCTCTCTCACAGTTCTCTCTCTCCCTCTTTCGAGGGAGCCAGCCCACATCAGCTATGCTGGAGGAGTGGGGGGTCCCCTTACATGCCTCCCTGCGCCCGGCAGCCCAGTTTCTGAGTAGCTTCCGCCTCACCTGTGACGACTACCTCGCTGCGGCTGGAGTTGGTAAAGTGGGGGTTTCGGCAGGTGCAGACGTAAACACCGGCCTCCGAAGGCCGGATGCTAGCGAAGTGCAACTCGACGCCTGCGGGGGATTCAGGAATGACTGAGTCAGAAACCAGCCAGCTGCTTTGCCTACAAGCAGCAGTGGGATTCAGATTTTTTTTACTACAGGTTCTGTGGGTGTGGCTTGCCTTGGGTGGGCGTGGCAGGGAAAAAGGTTACTAAAAAATGCCCGTTCCCTTCCTACCCCACACTAGCCTGCTTTCCAGCTCCGTTCTCCTGGACAGGGCAACCAAAGGAGATCCAGACAACTGGCTGGGACTTGAGAGGTAGAGAATAGATGGGAACAGGGCTAGTCAGAGGTGGGATTGGCCGGTTCTCCGAACGACTCAAAATTTCCGCTACCTGTTCTCCAGAACCGGTCAGAACCAGCTGAAGACCATCTCTGATCCCCAATCTCTGGGCCACACCCCACTAGCGGGCCTTGAGTGGCTTGCAACCAGGCAGGTGAGCGCGGCAACGCACATCCCCGCTTGTGTGAGCAGCGGGCAAGCGAGCCTGCACACATGCTCCATTTGCGTGAGTGGTAAGCGCACATGCACACTGTTTGTGTAAGTGCCGCACGTGTACACCACGCACACAGAAGCATCGCCTCTCCCCCCAGCTTGCCGGTCCGCCAAGCCGGAAAGGTTAGGGAACTCTGGTCTAACAGAATAGGCTGCCGTTTGCCCCTCCCTGTCCACTCTGTTGAAATCTTGAGAACTAGAGCCTTTGCTCTAGCAGCGGTTTGTAAAGCAGCGGTTGCCCACCGGTGGGCTACGGCCCACTGGTGGGCCGCGAGAAAATTTTGGTGGGCCGCAGAGAAATCTCACCCACAGAGCATCCCCCCAAAGCAATTAATCCAGGCTGCGCAGGAACACAAGGCTGCGCAGCCCACGTGGCCCGCAGGAACGCTCTCCGTCCACTCATGCCTTACCCGGCAAACTTGCCTGCTAAATTGCTATTTTTCCTTTTTCCGACCATCAGCTGTTCTGCTGTGCCGGGAGATTTAGATTAGCTAGAAAGCAGGAAAAGGTTGGATTTCTTGCTTTCTAGCTAGTCTTTAGGTCTTCGGCTCTGCTTTTAAGCACAGCCGAACCTCCCTTAGGACTGAAGGTTCTATTATTCAGTGCAGACTCACAGCAAGCAAATTTGAGAGACTGAGCTAGTCGATGGCAGATAAGATAGATCACTGAATGATTCTGTGAGCAACTCAGTCTGTCTGCCTCCTTTGCCTGATTTTGGGTAAAAGTTCTTTTTTTATACAAAATTCAATATTTACATACATGGTCTGTTGTGAGTTAATTTTGTGAGTTTGCTTGCCAGCAAATTTTATGTGACAGACTGAGCTAGCCGATGGCAGATAGATAGATCTCTGAATGAATCTGTGATTCTGTGAGCAACTCAATCTGCCTTGCTTTGCCTGATTTTGGGTAAAAGTTGCTCTTTTTTTAAATAAAAAATTCAACATTTATATCAACATTTATAATATTTACATACCAGCCATGCCCAGCCAGTCACATGACCACCACGCCACACCCACAAATTAGGCCACGCCCACAGAGACCGGTTAGTGGTCCCTGGGATTTAAAATTATGAGTTTGGTGGTCCCTGAGGTCCAAAAGGTTGGCGACCCCTGCTGTAAAGGACCCTTCAGAGATCGAGGGATCCTCCCCGTCCAAGATTGGTTTGACTCGGTTTCTGTGGTTTGCAACCAGGCCACAGATTCGTTTGACTTCAAAAACACGACACTCCCTGCCCGGGCCACTGTCCCTCCCCTTCTGGGTCTCCACACACCCCTCCCCAACATGTTTTGCAATCTGCCCAGTTGGGGGATGGCACAAACTCACCTTGCTCCCTGCGCTGGGCAGTACTTGGCACGGGACGCCCATCTTCACGGGACCAATAGAAGAAATGGGGCGGCTCCCCACTGACCTGGCACCGCAGCGTCACTTCGCTGCCCTGGGACACAGCCGTCCGGGAGGGATGGATTCGGACGACCAGGCGGGGCTGCTCGGGGGGTCCTGAGAAGGAGGAGGAGGAGGCAGAGGGAGAGGCAGAGGGGAGGGGGCAGCTCAGCACCTGTACGCCAGGCGGCGGAAAACAGAGCACCACCCCCGTTTCGTAGGACGACAACTCCACGACGAGCAAGCGCATCTTTGCTCACCCAAAGGAAGACATTTCTGCCCATGGATGTTTGGGTTGCCCGTGTATCCAGAGGCACATCTAGGGGGAGAACCAGAGACCCATCAGGAGAGGCGCTCAGGGGCTGCTGCCGCATCCCAGCTCAGCCCTTCCAGGGAGAGACCCACTCACTGTTCGCAATACTGGCCAGCGTAACCAGGTTCGCAGGCAGTGCAGCGGTAGCCACCGCCCTCCAGGCTCTCGCACGTCCGCGAGAATCTGCCAAAAAAGAAGTAGGTGCCATCCTGAGCTCTCGCCGAGAGGGATTCCTGCTCCCCCTCCCCACCCACAAGAGGGCAGGTGGCTTACTGGTTCTCAGGATCTGGCAATGGGCAAGCGCATGGCTGGCAGTCCTCGGGGGTCCCAGCGGTGGCATCTCCGTAGTAGCCAGGGGCGCACTGTTCGCAGAACTCTCCAGCTGCATGGTGCAGGCAGTGCTAGAGAAGGAAGGAAGGAAGGAAGGAAGGAAGGAAGGAAATGGAAAAGATGGGAGGGTGCGACAGAGGAAGGAGGGAGAGAGAAAGAAGGAGGGAGCAAGGAAGAGATGGAGGGAGAAGGAAGGAAGGGGAAAGAAGGGAGGGAGTGACAGAAGTAGGGAGGGACAGAAGAAAAGAAGGAGGGAGGGAGCAAGAGGAAGGAGGGAGGGGGGGAAGGAAGGAAGGGGAAAAAAGGGAGGGCACGACAGAGGAAGGAGGAAAAGAGAAGGGAGGAGGGAAGGAGAGAGGGAGGGAGAAGGAAGGAGGGAGCAAGGAAGAGATAGAGGGAGAAGGAAGGGGAAAAAGGGAGGGAGTGACAAAGGGAGGGAGGGAGGGAAAGAGGGAGAAGGAAGGAAGGAAGGAAAGAAAGGAAGGAAGGAAGGAAGGAAGGAAAGGAAAGGAAAGGAAAGGAAAGGAAGGAAGGAAGGAAGGAAGGAAGGAAGGAAGGAAGGAAGGAAG